ACTGTCTGGAGTGATGAAAACTATGTATTTAACATAGGGTACATTTTATCATATGTACATTACACATTACACCTCAACAAATTAAAAAAAAAATTTTGTTTTCAATTTTTAAGACAGAGGCCTAGATTCTATCCTAACTTAATACCTCTGCTTTCCTTAAGAACTTGCTTAGGACTTCAGCATCTGTTTCCTCACGTGTAAAGAGTGACAATGCCAAGTCCACAGGGTGAAGTGAAAGTACATGTCAAAGGAGATTAACTGAAAGGTAAGAAGCAAAAACTAATATTATTAACACTCAAAAGTCCTTCTAGAGCATGGTTTTTACATGTTATTTTCTACTTCTGTCTTTAAGCTGTTTCTTTTCCGCACCATCCCGGGTTAACTAAAAAACTAAAATATAATCACTTTGAGATGTTCTTTTAAAAGAAGAAAACATTTTAAATCAAAGCTGAGCAATATAAAGAAAAAGCAAAAGTTCTCAAAGATTAAATAGTATAGCTAAAAATTAATAATTTTCTTAAAGTACAAATTCCAATGTCTTCCTATGGCTTAACTAGAGAGCATATACTTTGAGTAGGATTTCTGTACCACTTACATTACTGATTTAGTTCCCACATTCCAAAGGGGTCAGGAAATTATAAAGTGTTTAATATAAAAATGGCAGATGTATACAAATATTTCTATCACAGACATAAAAAATACTAATTTTTTTTCAGGCATTCAAACAACACATTTGCAACCCATACTCCCACAAACCTGAAAGGCATTACTATTTTTGACAGTCTTTTGCAGAGTATCATAATGCTGAAATTCTGATATTTCATCTGGAAATACCCATTTGAATTCAAAGTCCCCAAAACACAGGAACACATGGTAATAATAAAGGATTCTGGACTAGTGTTTTTACAAACAACCTTGGCTGCTTTTGGCTAACTTATTTTACCTCATTTTTATACATCTGAAAATGAAAATTCAATTACTGTAGGGAAGTTGAACTTGGAATACACTTTTTTTACTTAATAAGTTACAAAATATAGCAAGATACAAACTAGCCTGTTCCTCACTATATTTGCAACATTTTTGTAACTAAAATACAACCGAAACAATTATTTGTACGGAAAATACTACAGAAATACCTCCGTAACAATAAAAGTAAACCCTTCTAAATGACGTTTCAATCTCTCTTAAACGTTAACATGCAGAGATTGCTAGTTGTCCTACAGTACCCCTCCTTCCCCTCTTTACACAGTAATGGAAATTTCTGGGCATAGGACACAGCTAAAGATTCCCTTGCAGCTAGGTGAAGCTTTATGACTTAGTTCTAGACAATGGGATGTAAGCAAAAGCAATGTATGCAACTTTAGGTGATGGCCTTAAAGAAAATGGACAGGCTCTTTATTCTCTGCTTAACTCAGTTCTGTTGCCTACTGAAGCTAGCAGCCTTCTTGGACCATGAGATTAAAAACTGCCTTTTAAAATGGCAAAGCAACATTATTAGAGAAGCCTGAGCCTCCAACATCATTAAGCCATTATATTAACCCAGGACTGCTTATTTGGATTTTTAAATCAGAGAAAAATAAGCCTCCACAGTACTTAAGTTGTCAAATATTCAGCCTAAACTGTATCCCAGTTTCTCAGGATGAGGGCAAGGGAGACAAAGGAAAAGGAAATGAAAATAGACTTTAATTCTAACAGAAACCTGTAGCCAATTCTCGTGTGTGTGTGTGTGTATCATGTTTATTTGTTCTTCAAAATTCATGGCTTTCCTTCATTAGGGCTATTTTTAGAAATATAAGACTAGTATGTTAGATGACCTGGAATGAACCCAAGAAATCACTTTAAAACTTGAGCGATGAGAAAACAGAGGTATGAGCAAGCAAATTATGAGCCCAAGGTTATTCTTACCAAAAATTATTAGGCGTTCTTTTTTTTGTAACTCATAAATAATTTTTTCTGAAGAAACAGATCAACTTATAAAAGCAAAAAAGGAAAACATTATTAAGATGTATTGTTTGCATGACAAAGAATATACTGCAAAATCAGTATGAACTGTGAATGGCAGAGAAAAAGCCGTGACACAAAGTATATGAATAATCTCTTGAATGGGGCTACTACTTACAGTAGAGACATAATGAGTTCTAAATGCTTGCACCAGAATGTGTTTTCATCTAGAATAATCTACTGCCAACTGAAGAACACTGGTGATGGGGCAGGAAGGGTCCCAGAGGTTTGTCCCGTATGGAGAAAAAGAGTTAATGTCTTGCTGGTCATTCAACACTTATTCCAATGGGAATTAAGCTAAAATTAAAAAAACCTATGTTATCTATAAAGAAAAACTAATTAGAGCGTAAATGAAATTTTGGGTGTTATGAGCTCAAAAGCAATCTCATGAAAATTATGCACATGCTCCCTCCAAAAAATGTGCAACATATACATTATACATTTTAAATATTTCATTGATTTGGATTGACAATTCTTTCACTCTAATAAAACCCAAGATGATATTCCCAAAAACTCAGGTCTTTTTAAGTACAAAAATGAGTAGTTACTTCCTTTTAAAAAGGTGTTTTTTTTTTTTTTAAGCTCTATGCCCAACATGGGGCTTGAACTCACAACCCGAAATCAAGACTCACATGCTCAGCCAGCCAGATGCCTCTAAAAAAAATTTTTTTTAAAAAGAACATTTTATATAAATTCCAAGTAAGTCTTATATGACTTGAGTACTCAAAGTGTTCAAATTATGCAGTGATCTCCAACGCAGAATTAAAAACATAAAACTTCTTGAGCTGATGGCAACAAATGCCTAAAACCATGATTCTGAGAGTATGAATCTGGTAGTAAATGTACTTAGGACTCATAGAATATTCTTTGCCATGGGAGAGTAACCTTATGTCAACAAACAACAGAATTCACTACAACTTTCTGAATTGAATCTACGTTCATTCTTTTCTTTTTTTCTAAGTATAAGAGGTCATTTTTCCAACAATCAGATGTCTGTGTCATCAAGGAAAGGATTACAAATTCCTTTTAAATTTTTAGGTCACCCAAAGCACTATAAGCCTTAAAAAGTATTCTGCCATGTTTCTAATTGTGTGCATATTTTTGCCAGCAGACGAATTTACAAGATATTGTCACTCTGAAATTCAATTTGCAGAAGCACATCCTGAAGCACTGGAAGATCCCCGTGGCAGTTTGGCTAAATGAACTTGTGATTTTCATCTGCATCCATAAGGCAGACTACAGCACCGCAAAGTAGAACTTTTATTTCATTCAAATATCCAAAAATATCCCTCAAGTAAGTCAAGTCACAAATAAACTTGTCCAACCGTCCTGAGAATAGCATTTCTTTCTCTCATAAGCAAATTTAATAGACAATAAATAAGGAGGCAGCTATCTAAACTGCAGTGTAGTGCTTTAAGACATATCCTTTAAGGAACCAATGAACTTCTGCATTACTGGGAATCTCTTACTCTATTTCCACTTCTTGAGAAAACCTGTTAATAGGGAGTGGTTCGTGGTTCGTGGTTCTGACTCAAAGTTGATTATGTTCAGGGTGGTAAGCAAGTATCTTTTAGGATAATTGTCAGAGTTTTTAATGCTGTTTCATGCCAAGCCAACTGTAAAAGACGTAGGTTATGAATACTTGGAAGTTCGTTCCTCACAAAAGCAGCAAAATCAGATGTACTGCCAACCATGGTAAGTACTCCATCCAACCCCGATACAGCAAACCACCTAATGTTAGTCATTACATACAAATGCTCGTTGAACAGGAAATGGCAGAACTCCCAATCTGACAATGATCTGCTTCAAAATATTAGAAGAAACACTCAGCAGTCTTAAGAGTACGTAACATCATCTGATTGTGCTTCGGCCATAGGAAAGAACGCTTTGTGATAAATAACCAAATTTCAGCAGCCAGTTCAAATCTTTCTTAACCCATTCTAAATTATCATTTTAAGGATCTCAGCATATTGAAACTTACATAAATTGGCAGGTAAGTAGAAAAAGTATGTATCTTCTAAACAGAAATAATTACTGAAGCCAGTCTCTCTGTATTATTCTCTATAGGTTAACATACATTTCAAAATAATGATTCCATCTGTTACTTTACATGTTTCTGTAATTGGTGAAATCCCTTCAATCATTCTGAATTAAAGAGTTATTTTCAAGGAATTTTTTTAAATTCAATTTAGTTCCAGCACAAATTGTCAATACTGTCTCTAACCTTAGTGTGCTAAAGATTTCCCTCCCTTTCTTCTACTAAAGACCTCATATCAGAATATAAACCACTGGCAAAAGTGAATAATTCAACCTCTAATTATCCCACAAACTTGGGCAAAATATACAAGCAGTACATTTGGATAAACATTTTTGATACATAAGCCGCCCACCTTGATCTGAACTGGTACAGGAACTAAACAGGACAAGTAGCAGATATCCTTGTCTATAAAGCATGCAAGCCTTCAAAAGCCTGGGTTGAATGTTATTTCTATTTTAGTATTTCTAAGTTTGACATATAAATAAAATACTTTAATGCCTAATGATATGTCTTACTACACTTAGTTATCTCATTTTGTAATTTCGATACACTCTAATAAAGTAGAGAATAAGTTATAATTATTAAATATTCAATGGTAAATAAATTATCTTCTTTCTTAAAATCAGTATTTCCCAAAACTTATTACAATAAATCCTGTCTCAACGGTCTAAAATTTCTGATCCCACTTGGTAGAACTGCTTATTCATGTAATCGTCTCTATAATACTTATTTTTAAAGCATTAAAACTCAATACATTTTCTAATAATTATTTTTCACAATTCATAAGTATGAAGCACTTAATGAGTAAGGTTGAATGAAGAAGCATTCTTCCAACTTGAAAACCAAGTACATTTCACACTTCTATTTCCCAGGTATTCTGGGAATAATAAGCTAGTTACTTAGATAATTCCTCAATAAGTGCTCTGACATTTTACCACTTATTATGGAAAGTTTTACTTACTGAAACATCTTTCAGGTTTTTCTCAAAGGAGAAATGACAAGACTCTCTAGAAAAATCAAATTTGTATGCATCAGCTGGTCCTCCTCCTAATACCAATGCTTTTCTCAGTTCATCAACATATTTCTCTTTTTCCAATGCCATGTCATCGGCTTCTTGGGAAATCTCTGACTCAGAAACTATGGGAAACAAATAAAAAGTTTTGACATGAAAAATAAATTTCTAAACACGAGTACATATTTATTTACCTATTGCTACTAATTTATCACTTATGTAACAGATATTTAAACAAAAGATAAAACCAATCCCTATACCACACATTCATTTTTAAGTCAAATTATACCTTTGAACTAGCAATTTTTGAGAAACACATTAGTCTCAAATCTCATTTGAAAAACATTAGACTCCTTGCATTTTTTTTCTCTGTCCTCAGGTGAAATACATGCATTGTAAATTACTAGAAAAACTACCATCTTATATACCTGCTCCTAGGTCAAAGCCAATAAATTATTTCTTAATAATGATTAATAAGTTCAGCATTTTATAACATCTTTCTTCCTTGCCTCAATTATTGAAGAGATTAAATAGTCAATAGTCTATTTCTCACTCACATGGGCTGAGTCAAACTAAAGTAAAAATGGAGTTCATTCTTCTCATCTCATTATATGCCAAAAAATAAAGAAGGTGGATGAAGGTAGGTGATGAGGAACGAAAAAGAAAGGAATTAATATTTATTGAGTGTCACCTGTTTGGCACACATTATATCACAGATCCGGCTTCCAGTTCTCCCATCTAGGTATATTGAAAGCTGATGCTTTACTCATCTACAGAGATTTTTACTTCAACAATTATATTCTCAATTCTAGACTGATATTCTCTTTCTTTTTCATAATATCCTGTTCTTGCCACACCCTTCCTTAAATATCTGAAGGCTTTAAACATATTTAAGATCTCTTTCAGGTCAGTCTTTATGCATGGTTCCTAGAGTATTAATTCCATTTCTACTGCTGACACATTCTCATTCTGTTTTTTTCCCTTTCATGCTTTGCAATGTTTGAACAAGGCTCTCCCCTAGCCAGAGTATCATCTGCTCTGGGCAATAGTGCTGGCCTTGAATCAAGATTGCTAGTTTACTTTTCTTGGAGTCTCTACAGGTTTCAACAGCTCTGCACCAGTTTTGAAGGTTAATTTCTTAACTTGGTTTTTACTCTTGAAGTAAAGAGTTCAATCTTAAATCCCCCGTCCCTCATCTCTACATAACAGAGACTCAGGGTTCTGATTTTTGTTTGGACTTTTATCCACTCATAGCTCTTAGTGACTAGTTTGATTCTACGCTGCATCTTCAAACCAGAGAGTAGTCTTTTGTTTTTGTTTTGTTTTGCTTTTTTAAGATGATTTCATTAACAAGATACCTTTCAGTTTCCTTTCTTTACATTGAGAGCTCAGTTCCAGGTCCTTAAGAGGCCTGCCGTCTCAACATTCCACCCCTCTTAGGTACTACAACCACAGTCATTAAGACATATATCTAATTCAGATATTCCATGAACCTAAAGTTAAGCTTTAGTTCCTATTAACCACTTTGGTTTTCAGATACTTCTTCATAGACGGCACCTGGAGGGTTCCCTTTCTTACATCCAAAAGCTGCAACGTATCTGTTTGCTTTTAAAATTATAAGATTTAATCTAACATTTGTTTGGAATGTGTGCATGTGGTTGGGTGGTTTCCTGTGTCAATTCCCGCTAGTACAATGATGAAAGACTCATGTGGTTCTATACTTTTATATTTAAAGATTACATTTATCTATTTTATTCCTTATAACACTAAAAGATGTTTCAAATGATAAAACTGATGCTCAGATCAAGTAATGGTCTATGGCCATGGAGTAGATTAAGTGGTCAAACGGATTCATACTTATGGTCTCTTGGTTGTTTGGTTTTGTGGTGAGGCAGATATGGGACACTGGAAAAACTATTTCCTTCCACGGAATTAAAAAAACACACTAGTAGGACATACTACAGAAATCAATAAAAGCTTGACTAAAGAATCCCTAAAATATAACACAGATTTTCATACCTTTGGTCTGTGTCCTATCAAGTATGTCTGGAAGCCCCATGACAGGCAAAGAAGAAGAGAATTTTGAAACATATCCATATGTTTTTCATTATCTATTTTTGGTCATTTCTGATAGCGAAATATGAATCTCAACACAGATGACAAAAAGAGGTAAGAATAAAAACTTTTATATTTTTTATGTGATTTTACAGCTTCTAAAATCCTTTCATATATTTTGTATCTCTCTGAAGCAGATGCATATTTAAGATGATCACCACTATCAAATCTATTTATCAAATCTATTGACCTTTCAGTTACCTTACTAGCTCTTCTGAAAAAAAAAGAAACAAAAACAAAAATAAGAAGACTAATGCTTCCTAGTTAAGGAACAATTTCATATTTTGTGTTGGGTAATTCTGAAGAGTTATAAATACCAAAGAAGAGAAAATATTTCATAGAGAAATAGGAAATAAATCTGTAGAAACCACCTTGAATGCAACTACAGAAAATACAAAAGAGGACGCCTGGGTTGGCACAGTCGGTTAAGTGTCTGCCTTTGGCTCAGGTCATGATCCTGGGGTCCTGGGAACCAGCCCTGAGTCAGTCTCCCTGCTCAGGGGGGAGCCTGCTTCTCCCTCTCCCCGCTGCTCATGCTCTCTCTCCCCATCTCTCTCTAATAAATAAATAAAATCTTTAAAAAAAAAAAAAAAAAACACAAGAAATAAAGTATGCCTACTGATAAAACATCCAGTGAAAAGCATTCTAAATTTCATTAAACTGAAAAGATATATATCTGAAAATATTTCATAGCATTTAATGGTTTGATTCACTTATTTAAAACAATGCTTACTTAGCACCTACTATGTGCCAGGTACTATTCTAGGCACCAAGGATACAAAAGTTTAACAAACAGAAATTCCAGCCTCGTGTACCCTAATTCAAGTGCTGACATCTTAGATATTCTCTTATGTTACACCATCTGTGAACGCTGTTCTATTATTACGGAATATTTCATTTTTGAGAGAAAAAAACACATGAAAGAAAATTTTCTATTTATACTTCCCCTTTAAAAACTGTGAGAAAAAATTAAGAAAAAAATTTACTTGAATATTTCCATTAATAGTAAATGTGAAATTTTGACTGCCTATTTAGAACTTCAGGCCTGGAAAAACAACGTGGTCACCAGTTTTGAATTTTGTGCTAAGAACATCTGGAAGAAGCACAGCTGTAAGCATTCACTGCTCCAAAAACTTTGGTGACCAGAAATAAAAGCCATGGAAATAATAAAATTCAGCAAGGATACAGCTGAACCACATAATAATAGCATAAAAAGTGAGCAGGCCAACATGACCAAAAACCAAGGAATTGTTCTCAGACACATAGGATCCAAGAAAGCATCATTTTAACAATATTTGTGGGTAGATGAAGATGTAAGTAAGGAAAGAAGATTTTTTTCTTTTGGATCCTTATGTATAATGAACCAAAGACTGTGCATAGCCTAAGTTTGTGTTGGTGCTTTGAAGACAGCCTTATCATCACATTAGAGAGCTTGTTGGTAGCACATCATGGACCTACTTTACTGCATTTATTAAAAATCCTTCTTCCCCTGAACTCTGTCACATAATCTCCATATAGGTCACCAAATATCAATATTTAGAACAAATATAAATGAATATAATTACTTGATAATAAATGTATTAATAAAGTTTACTTCTCAATGAACTACTCCAGAGATGGGTGATTTAAGTTTCTTACTGCTGACTGATAGCGTTATAAAGGTCACATAATAGTCATCAATCGTTAACCTACTTTGTGACTTAACTTTGCGATACAACCCTCTATGTTGAAGTGATGATAGACCACATGATAATTAGACCTCAAAACATTCATTAGATAAAACATTACTAATGGAAAAGAAATCAGTGAATTTAGTGTGTGGGAGATTAAAAGGAACCCCACATCCTTTTAATTTCACTCAAATGAAAAGAGAAAAAAAATTATCCAAATTGAAGGTTGCAGCAATCAAAAAGTTGTACAAAAAAAAACAGGATGAGGTATAGGAAGGAAATCCATTTTCATGTTTCAATTATGTAATTGTTTCAATGTTCTTAATCATGTTATTTTCTCTATAAAGTGCCAAACCAAATCATATTCATGTAATAAACCTCAACTAACCATGGAAACAATTATATTATTTGGTTTGATATTTTGTCCCTGAAATGTATACAAGAAAATAGAAATGACAGATATATAAAAAATTTATGAGATTCAAAACTTTAGTGTCTTTGAAAATAAAACAACCATATATGGTGCACTATAAAATTTTCTGTTTGAAAGCCTGGTTAGTAAGCAAGCCAAAATGTTAACAACACAAAGGATATGGAAGTTTTCTAACACATTTTTCTCTCACTATTCATTAGCTAAAAAACAAATGGCAAAGCATACTATATTTCTGATCAATGCCAATAATAAATAAATATGAAACTGGAGTTTTCTTTAAAAAATGCTAATTCTAAAATAAATGGTTCACTTTCTTTTTTCCTAGGAAGTTTTATACATTTGAGGCATCCTTCCAAAGAATATCTACTGAGCATGTAGGTCCCAGGCACTGGTCTAGATACTTATAAAGAATGAGTGACAGAAAAATCAGATGCATTCCTTGCTCCTAATGAATCTAGTGAAACAATATTGATAATATTAAGAACAACTGCCAGCACATTTTTTTATGACATATACAAATTGTTCCATAAATGTAAACTCAGCTTAAATTTCTGGTTAAATCAAGATTTAAGAATTCATCAGTGTATTCTTTTATTCCCAATCCTTAACGATAAAAAAAAATTCAAACAACATAATATTGTTCTTTGCTTTCGTGAATGAGGTTTACTAAATTAGAATTTAGTATTTTCTTTTGATAATTAAGGCTCTTAAAGCATCTCAAGGTCATCTGTCTAATCAGAACTAATTATACACAATAAGCCATTTGTCAGCTGGGAACATCTAAGTTATAAATACAGTATTCCTTACATACAAGCAACCACTTCACCTAGGACCTGCCTCCTGGGCTGTATGGTTGCAACTGCTCTTCTCTCCAGACAACTAGCATTAACCTCCTGCCATGATCTTCAGCCCTGTGCACCCCCTTCCCAAAACAGAGCTACCGCCACTTGGGTACCCTAGCATACAGAGAGCTAAACTGAAAATTTTTCTTCCACTCCTGCATGGCAACAACCAAGCAACAACTGGTTTCTCTTAACATAGAAGTTTACAGCTTAAATAGATCCCGTAATACATACTGCAAACACTATCCTTGAAATTTCTTTATTTTATTAATACTTACATCAGCATTCCTTACACTCTGTCATAAAAGAAGAGTTTTTTTAAAAAAACCCTGCAATTATAAACTCGGTTTGACCGTACTGTGTAACAGAATTTGTAACATCCAAGAAAGAAACAAAACTTCACCATGTAATTTTAAAAGATATAATAATTATAGTAACAAGTTTTAGGGAAATATTTCAAAATTAATAGAATATATAAATGGTATGTAAATTAACATGACAAAATTATTTTACCTAAAAATTATTTACAACATAACTCTAGAAAGGACTGTTGCATAACTATAGAAATAGTTTTTCAAATCTTTCAAAAAATACTTTAGAAGATTATGAAAACTTCACTATATGAGCAAAACATAATTCTATATATTTTCACTTTATAACTGCCATGTTCCATAAATAATTTCAGGGCCATTAGACTTTTTAAAAGATCACTGCCAAAGACACAAAAAATTTAAAGTTTATTTCATGAAATAATAGCCAAAATCCCACATGTGGGTTTGAACCTTGGTTTACAAAATCTCTAATACTATTTTGTTTTTGTTACAAACATAATACATGTTCACTAGAAAATAATTCAAACAATGTAAGTATCTAAAATAAAAAGAAAATCACCACCACCCCACTCCACCAAGCTAACAAATCCCTTGGCCCAGCTAACCCACCTCCCTATGCCTCCCAATATTTCCCTGGGGTCCTGAAAAAAAAATACATGTATAAAGTACTATTTATGTTTTGTAAAAAGAGATCATTTAAAAACCCTGACCAACCCCAAGTTTTAAGACTCAACTAGTAACCAGAATTTTCTAGGGCACATGCTTATTTCTCTATCCTTCTATTAATTATAGAAACTGGCATTAAATATTATAAATCTAAGTGTAAATTAGACAGCAATAACAAGTACAGCAATGTTAATTTTACCCAGAATCTACTAAAGAAACACCTCAATCTGAAGTGTCACTGGGGACTGAAGAACAACATATTACCGAAATTTTACTTTTAAAAAATTTGCTTTGAATATTACCTGTCCCGGTCCATGCTGACTGACCATCAGTAAGTGTAATAACAAAACCAGATCCTAATGTTTTCTCCCAAGCCACTTGTAGAAAATGAATTACATCAGGTTCAGAAGCAAGACAGATTCTGCTTACTTTTCTCTCCATTTCTGGTCACCTGTTATAAAAAAATAAATATTTTTGCAAGAAACCGTGACTATCGTATAGTGATATTTTGTATATTGGTCTCTCAGCTACACAAAGCACCAAGGAAATAAGTAAAACAAAAAAACCATGTAATAGTTAGCCAACCACAAAACTCAGTAAATCATAGTTCTATTCAACACTGATTTATAATTTTTACAGATAAGAAAAACAGAGGCCCGTAAATGGCAAATGAGTTGCCCAAGTTGAATGTTGAAAAAAATTACTATATCCAACAATATGAAGAGTAAAGACTTTTCTTACTGATCCCACTTTCATTTCTAATGATTAGAGGTTCTTTTTCTATGACTTCAAAAGCCATTCTTCTGGTAATTTACTCTAGAATCTTGCCCAGATTGACCTCAAACTTACCAAACTGTGGTACGACACATATTTGGTTCAAAGCAAATAACTATATTTTTTCTAATACTGGAATATCCCCTGACCACGTGCACTTCATTAAGAGATGCTTAAGCTGTAGAAGCTAACATGCAAAACAAAATACCCTAAAAATTACAAACATGCAAAGAAAAAAACATTACAAAAAGTCAAAACCAGGAACAAAGCACAAACTTCCAAAGATGAAAAATTAGAGAGAATTATTCTTTAATCACAAAGCATGAATCTCTTCCTAGATAATCCTGAAAAAGCTAAAGAAAATTCTTCAATCTTTTATTTCGGGAGAAGAGTATAAAATTGCTTCAATTTTTATGACCAGCACATATAATATGCTATAAAAATCCAAAAGCAAATTATTAATTGGCACTTCACTGACAACTGATTACTAAGTTTTAACAAAAGCAAATTTTTAAATCAGTTTTAATTTGCTTTCTCAATTTAAAACTATTACATTTTCATAAATAAAGCACATTATTTTTCTCAATTAACAATTGAATATGAAAATAAAAACTGAATATGAAAAACTCACTTTGTCAGCTCTTCACACAATTGAATATGAAAATAAAAACAACTCACTTTGTCAGCTCTTCACAAAACAAAACTAACTTACTACAGATCCCTGTCTTCTGGGAGTGGGAGGGATGCTTAATTATAGAATGCTAGAGCTATTCTATCTTACAGTAAAAAGCGCAAGGAAGCAGGGCGATTTCCAGAATAAAAGAAAAAAAATATCTAAAATTAATAGTGTAAGATACCTCCAAATTGGTAAATTAACAATAATTCTAACTTCTACCTAAAGTGTATTCAGAAGACTGTTTATTATTCTTCCCAGTGAAAGACCAAATTTTAAAATAACCATACTTGTAGCCACATCAATTAAGCATGTTTATGTGTTAAAAATATGTAAATTTGTAGGTTTGACTACATCATAACCATTGAAAAAATATAATTATTTTTAAATATTTCATTTAGCCAAAAATTTTCCTACATTGAGGTCTTTTTTGCCTCAGTATGCTTACTTCTGAAATGCGTTATCCATTTGTGAATATTTTCTTTTAAATGAATTAGTCAAAACAACTAACATGCAGTTAATTACCCACATGCTCTGTAATCCTTAAATTTGAAAATTGCTGGAAAATGTGTATTACTATTTTTCTATGCCAATCACTGAAAAAGACACATAGTTAGAGACTTACATAATTCTAATAGGCCCCAAACCCGCAACTTCGGAGTGGGAAGGGTAATAGAAACTACTTACGAAGGCCACTTTTTGCCTCTCTAGAATTTATATACAAACACACAGATACACTTGCACAGGTTATTTCTTCTTAAATATGCCTCAAGAAGCATGGCTATTGTTAGCAATTAATGTAACTTTGCAAAAGGAAATCTCAGCACTTAGAATTGCTCTAAAACAGCAATTGGTTTCACTGCTATTTTTCACCATATTTGAAACAAGTGACAAACTGCTAATTATACAAAGTAGTTTAAAATTCAGTATTCCAGATGCTTCATTCTACTTTCACAATGACATAAAGGGCTTTAATCTCAGTAATGTTAAAAAGACATTTAGGGATCAGATTAGTTTTAATAACATCTTGGAATTATTTGTGTTTCAAATATTTTCCAGTTTTCTGACCAACGCTAGGTTGGTCTAAAATTAAATTGTATTATTTTAAAGCTAAAATTAAATTGTATTATTTTAAAGATTCCATTATTTTACTAAACTCAGATTTCAAACTTTGGATGCTGTGAGTCATGTTTAAGCACTTAACATTTATAGCCCAAATGTGACCACTCAGGTACTCCTATAAATACTTTGTGTCTCAGTAGCCTCAGATGTTTTCTCTGTATCAACTGAGTTTTAATTTCCTGATAATATATTATTTGAATGACTTTTGAATGAAATTCATTCTTCTACTTACTGAAGTCACCCCCTCATTAAATATCAAATACAAAATATCCAAGAACCAACCACAAAAATAGGAAAAAGGATGACTTGCCAAGTCTTTCAAGAATCCTAAGAGCGAACCAATGATCTCTTTGCTTTCAGCAGCCCTGTAAATGGGAATAGTCAGCCATAATTTTTCTGCCCCAAGAATACTTGAAGAAAGGGGTGGAATCCTCTTTAGAGGGACTGATCGATTAGGGCCATAAGAAAGCGTGTGTTTTATTTTCTAAGGGCACTAAAGGTCGCACTAGTATCAGCACCTCTCCCAGCCAGAGCCCAGGATCTAAGACAAGCCTGCAGGTGGAAACAGTTGAGTCCCACCCCAATTTGTACATCAGTAGCTTTATTGAGAGCTCAGAACAGTTGAGAATTGAGAAGCTTATCTTTAGTACTTTGTGCCTTTGATACTTGGCTTCCTTCTTAGAAGAGAAATAAGTTGTTGGCTGGTATGCAGTTGATGTGATCTACACTCTGAACAAATACCATTCACAGTTGCCTCTGAATAAACAAGACGCTTTTTAAATTAGTTTACAAAGAATTTTGTATGCCCTTTTGGATGCTGATAAGGAGCAGTGCAGAAGCCAACTCTCTTAGGTCAGCTCAAGTTAGTGACAACACTATATCATTGATAACACCATTTTGAACTTGAGCTTCTTTTATTTTCCTTTATAGCTAAGTTACGGGGTCTTTTCAAGCTGCTTGGGCTGCAGGTGTTCAAACTTCTGCAACTATGCCAAGGAGTTGTACTTACAGATCAGAAAGGACTAAATGCATGTTTCTAATGAAGCAATTAACTTAAGTGCCCCCTTGTTCAGAAAAGTAGGCTGATACCTAAAGTGAATTCAGAATAAAGATTAGCACACAGCACACTGTTAAGTCTGTAATTAGATTCCTGATCATATTATTTTAACCTTATTTTTTTAAAAAGGGGAAGAAAAGAAAAAAATGTAAATTCTAAATTGAAAGTATGGTGATAATTTTTTTTAAAGTTCTATCATATTATAAAAATTCAAGGGTAGAACCATACATACTGCTAAATAAAAAGGAAAGAAAGTCTTATGCAACAACCACCGGGCTATTTACTTTTAATAAGAAAAACATCACACAAGTCAGAAAACTAAGTGTAAAGAAAATGATGATTTTCCTGTTTATTAAGTATTTTTAAAAAGCATTGGTTATTAATGTTTATCTTACCAGAATTCCCACACTGAAGACTTTTTTTTAAATTAATAATTGATTCCTAGCATTTTCATTATTTCTTTCCTATAATTTTCATTAATAGCATGTCAACTTGCTGGTTGGAGTTATCTATCTGACTAAAGGGTAAATTAAGTCTTTTTTTTTTTCTAAATGACCACAAAATCAAAATCAATTTACCTTTAAATTTCCAAAGCAATTAAACAAAAATATCAAGTTAACTTTCTATAGAAGAAATGCTTTCTTGAAAGAATATTTTCAAGTTCCAATTATCTAAACTTTAAGGGTAAAGAATTTATAGTATTATTAAATACTTTTCTAATCATGTCAATATTACCTCTATTCTATTAATTTAGAAATTTAAATAAGGTGACCGGCTGTCCAGGTGTCCCTGAGATTTTCTTGGTTTCAACTTTCCAAGTCCCAGGTGCAAGAAACCTCCCAACCTCAGGCCAACTAGGATGGATGGTCACCCAAAGTAAGAGTAAAATACAGTTAAGACTGTGGACATAATCTTGTTCAAAAACTTGTAAAATACAGCTCATGTTTAAGTTAGATGTCAGATTAACAGTCTGATGCTTCAGGAATAAAGCATTAGAACTATAAAATTAGTCTAAAAAGTAAGGCATCTTTGCCATGGTCATAGTCCATTCTGTTACCCCTTATGGCTGTGGAATGCCACCTGCAGCCATTCCAAATATCATATTACTACTCATTTCCTCTACTTATCTTTTACAAATACCATTAGTAATCATTAGTTTCAGTGATTCAAGTTCACTTCCTCTTCCTTTTTCTTTACCCAATGAACTAAGTATTTTAAAACAGTAAAATAGCTTGACTAAATTTCCCACATAAAATCTAACACCTAGATCCAAAATGCCCTAAAAATTGGACCCAGAGTTCCAGGACTTCCTTTCTATTCATCAAATGGACACTCTTAATTACAAATAAACTTGGCAGAAAGGATGAAAGCATACTTATCATTTTGGAAACTTTCTAAACTTTCACAAGAACACTTCAGTCCTAACTGCAGAGTCTCCTGTGAGAATGACACTTAACAGAACTGAAGAGATAAGATAATACCTGAAATATAGCATTAGCTAAACAACAGTCTTTCTTCATTAAGAATGTAGTAATTTTGATTTCTTAAGCCATGAAATTTTGACACCTCTCTCGTATTTTAATTTCAGAAGACCAAGGGTGTTCCTATGAAATACCATCAGTTAAGTGTATATACAGTCTTTTCTACTTCAAAAATGTGCTGCTCAGAACTGAAATGTAACTAAAAGCATTGGTATGGAAAAGAAACAGGACTTGCACTGTACTTTTTCCCTTACTCACAAACCCACCATTTACTTACAACTGTACCCATTTATCTGCCTATTTCAAATGGCAAACGGGATGAATAAGACTGGGGTACAAATGAG